GGGGGAATCGCTTAAGATGTTTTTTCAAAAAAACTAAAACAAAAGACCATATTGTTGTGTAATGCTCTCATTTGGTTCTGACCCTGTATAGGGTTTTCAAGGAGTGACTGGTGAGTTTGAACCACCAACCTTGTGATTTAAACGGAACTTGCAGTCTAGTGTTTTTCCTTCAGTGTCATACCAGGACTCCATAAGGGAACTAATTTCACCATGATGTTGTTGTTGTTAGGTGCCATGGAGTCAGTTCCAACTCATAGCGACCCTGTACAGGGTTTCCAAGGCTGTAAATCTTTACGGGAACAGAAAGCCTCATCTTTCTCCCGCGAAACATCTGGTAGTTTCGAACTGCTGACCTTGCGGTTCGCAGCCCGGTTCGTAACTGCTACGCAACCAGAGCTCCTTATAGGTACTATCATTTCCTTGGGAGCCCTGGTGTGGCTCTGTAGGATAAGCACTGGACTGCTAACTGTAAGGTTGGTGGTTCAAACCCACTAGCCACTCCTTAGAAACCCTACACAGGATCGCTATGCATCAGAATTGACTTGATGGTACTTAACAACAACAACTCTTCATTTCTTTAGGGCAAGTAAGTTATTAAGACTGAAATAGTGAATTAATCCCCCCTCCCACACCCCAAATATCAGAGCAGGACGGCTGGTGTGGTATTGTAGGATAAGCACTGGACTGTGAACCACAGGATCAGCAGTTCATTCCCCCAGCTGCTCCTTGGAAGCCCTATACAGGATTGCCCTGCACCACAATGGACTCAACAGCACTTAACAACAACATAACCAGGTTACTAGGGTTCCTTTCTGACATTGATAAGTGATGGATGTTGTTGTTCCTTTGTTATGTTAGAGGGCTTGTGGTTATGAAAGTACTTTTCCTTGTTTAATTTAAGGATGACCAGATCATTAACTGGTTGTTGGAATTCCGGTCTTCCATCACACACTTGACAAAGGACTTTGAGCACCTTGTCAGTATCCTATTGGTAAGTACACAGTTTCTTTCACAGATTAGGACTTTGAAAATCAAAGATTAGATCAGTGACGTTTCTGTGTCTCTCCCTCTGGACTGCAGAAATTGCAGTGGTTGAATCGAAGTCAAACAGTGGTGGAGGAGTACCTGGCCTTTCTTGGGAATCTCGTGTCAGCACAGACTGTCTTTCTTCGACCATGTCTCAGCATGATTGCTTCTCACTTTGTACCTCGTAAGTGGTGGGTCTTGGCTTGCTTTGGTTTTTAAAAATGTGTCTATTAAAATACTACTGATTTCAGAATACTTACTGGCCGCAGTTTTTGAACATGTCTCCTCCGAGTCGTGGCTTCTGTGAAGGTGTCTAGATTCATTCGTTGCTGTAAGTTTTGTAGGTGGTCATTATCTTTAGTGAGCTTCTAAAGTCTTACAACTTATACATTGAAGTTTTTAGCTGCTTAAAAATTAAGTTACTTTACTTTTTTATATAGCTATTCATTGTTTCTGTCAGGTGACAGGAGAATAATATCTTTTCTTTTTCTCTCCAAAGCCCGAGTGATCATTAAGGAAGGTGATGTGGATGTTTCCGATTCTGATGACGAAGATGATAGTAAGTTTAACGAGAGTAAAGGATGCCCCTTATTGTATCTTACTAACGGACAAAATATACTCGCAACTCCAGGACCTGTTGTAAGAAGTAGAGTAACGAATGGCTGCCTTGGATGAGTCTTTTATTATATTTAGTATTGATGTGCATGGTCGCTCTGTATGATAAGCACTGAAATGCAAACCACAAGGTCCATGGTTAGAGCCCACCAGCTGCACCATGGGAGAAAGATGAGGCTTTCTGCTTCTGGGAATATTTAAAGCCACGGAAGCTTTAAATGAGTCGGAACTGACTCAAAAGGCACTTAACATCAACAACAGCAATATGCAGTCAGTTGCATTAGATGTATTACTAGTAATATTAGTCCATTTAGTCTTCACTTAGGGTTACTGAGTAAACAGAAATGATAATTTCTCCAATAAATCATTCAGTTGTAGTTAACAAGTACTTTTAGTTTCAAGTACATTAAGTTTTCATTATAAAGTTTTGTTTTCTTGCTAACACACGCTCACTTTTCTCTTTATAGATCTTCCTGCAAATTTTGACACATGTCACAGAGCCTTGCAAATAATAGCAAGATACGTCCCATCGTGAGTATACTTTTGCTGTTTATTGAGAATCATTCTGGTTTCCTTTTCTATCTAGTCAGTTGTTGTTGTTAAGTGCCGTCGAGTCGGTTCTGACCCATAGTGACCCTGTATAGGATGTCCAAGGAGCAGCTAGTGAGCTTGAACCACCGACCTCGCAACTCAAGCTTCTCTACAGTCTGATGCATTAGCCCACAGCGCCACACCAGGACTCCTTCTAGTCAATTAGAGAATGATAAAACGTTAACACCATCAACTCATTCTGTCTGTTTTTTTTTTATTTTTCTGTTTTGGTACCATCACATTGTTTTTAACGTTTTTGGAGGTGGGTTTTTTTGTTGTTGTTGTTGTTGTTTTTAGCATTATGTCGGTTTTCTACAAAACTTTATATTGGTTCAAATATGCTCTTATATTCCACAGACAATACTGTTCACTGAAAAGCTCCTTTGTATATTTGTGTCATGTTACCAGAATGAAAATGATGCTTCCTAAGAATAGCTTTTCCAGTGTATGCATTTCTTTTGAAAGGGAAACAGGACTTTGAAATTTATTTGTTAACATAAAAATCGAAGTTGATAAAGTCTCTCCTTTCTAAAATTATGTGTATATAACAGTCATGGTGTGATGCTATAGGATAAGCACTCAACTGCAAGGTCAGTTTGAATGGCTGTTCAGACTCATCAGTTGTTCCTTCAAAACTCTATAAAGGGTTGCTCTAGGACACTTAGCAACAACAATGGAAAATGTTTAGATTTCCAGTGAATGTGGGGAAAAAATGCTTTCCCTTTCATTTGCTTTTTGGTGTTGGTGTTCCTATACTTTTCAAATAAGGCTTTAGAAGCATTTCCCCCTGAAGTCATAGATCTTTTTTAATCTGACGGAGCTTTGCATTTATTTTAAGAACCAATCACTTGGGTTAAGGGTTGCATTTTTCTTCCTGTGTCTATCCACATTTTCTCTTAATGGAAATGCCTTCCTAGAAAGTCAAATTAACATTAATTGATTTTTTTCACAGGACACCTTGGTTTCTTATGCCAATACTGGTCGAAAAATTTCCATTTGTCCGAAAATCCGAGAGAACATTGGTAAGAAATCGTTCATTAGAATAATCTTGGGGGGAAAAATGTGAGTGCAAAGTTCTACATAAATGTTGACACAGGGTGAGGAAATAGAATATCACAATATATCCATGTCGTCTAAAAAAAAAAAGAATAATCTTGGGAAAGTTAAATTGTGTGATTTTGTTTTAGATGATGTTATGTCTTTTTTTTAAAAGTTGTTTTGTCTTAAAGGCATTTAAGCCCAAGGATTAATTACCTTGTACGAACCATTTAGTCCATTTCAGAAATGTTTTTATAGACTTAATGTGTAAACTGCTGTGGTGCTGCAGGTTAAGGCACTGGACTGCAAGCTTGGTGGTTCAAGCTCACCACCAGCCACTTCTCAGAAACCCTATACAGGGTCTCTTGAGTCAGAACTGAGTTGACAGCACTTAAACAGCAGTCCGTAAACAGATAAGTACTAGAAGATTAATTTGTATAATACTAAGAAACGTTCCTTCTCTGGTCACGAATTCTACTTAAGTTTTTGTGTTACTAACAGTATCGTGGTTTCCTTCTAAGTTTTGATTTTTATTTAAAGGTATTACATATATAAAGTAACGCATGGATAATGTTTGCTAGTTTTTGTGGTATATTGCCCAGAGTTGTTGTTGGGTGCCTTCTAGTCAGTACCGACTCATAGTGACCTTACGCACAACAGAACGACACACTGCCCGATCCTGGGCCAACCTCACTTCTGTTGCCACACTTGAGTCCATTGATGCTGCCACTTGGCCAATCCATCTCGTTGGGGGTCTTCCTCTTTTTCTCTGACCCTCCACCTTACCAAACATGATATCCTTCTCCAGTGACTAGTCCCTCCTGACAATATGTCCAAGGTATGAGAGACGAAGTTTGGCCATCTTGTCCTCCAAGGAGCACTCTGGCTGCACTTCTTCAAAATGGATCTGTTGGTTCTTTTGGCAGCCCGTGGCACTTTCAATATTCTCCTCTAACCCCATAACTCAATAGCATCAGTTTTTCTACGGTCTTCCTTATTCACTGTCCAACTTTTGCTTGTATATGAGGTTATTGAAAATACCATGGCTTGGGTCAGGCGCACCTTAGTCCTCAAGCTGACATCTTTGCTCTTCAACACTTTTAAAAAGGTCTTGTGCAGCAGATTTGCCTAATGCAATACGTCATCTGATTTCTTGACTGCTGCTTCTGTGAGTGTTGATAGTTGATCCAAGAAGAATGAAGTCCTTGACAACTTCTGTCTTTCTTTCGTTGATAAGGTTGTTGTTTATTGGTCCAGTGGTGAGGATTTTTGTTTTCTTTATAATGAGATGTAATCCATACCAAATGCTGTGCTGTTTGATCTACATCAGTAAATGTTTTAAGTCCTCTTCACTTTCAACAAGCAAGGTTGTATCATCTGCATATCGCAGGTTGTTAATGAATCTTCCTCCAATCCCGATGACATGTTTTTCTTCGTATAACCTAGCTTCTCAGATTATTTGCTCAGCATACAGGTTGAATAAGTATGGTGAAAGATTACAACCTTATCGCACACCTTTCTTAGTTTTAAAACATTCTGTGTTCGCATGTTCTGTTTGAACAACTACCTCTTGGTCTAGGTACAGATTCCTCTGAGCACAATTAAGTGTTCCAGAATACTCATACTTTGCAATATTGTCCATAGTCTGTCATGATCCACATAACTGAAAGCCTTTGCGTAGTCAGTAAAGCACAGGTAAACATCTTTCTGATATTCTCTGCTTTCAGCCAAGATCCATTGGACATCAGTAATGATATCCCTCATTCCACAGCCTCTTCTGAATCCGGCTTGAACCTCTGGAAGTTCTCTGTCAATGTATGATTGTAGCCTTTTCTGTAGTACCTTTAGCAAAACTTTACTCGCATGGGCTATCAAACAGATTGTCTGATGATTTCCACATTCCGTTGGGTCACCTCTCTTTGGAATGGACACAAATACGAATCTCCCAATCAGTCAGCCAGATAGTTGTCTTCCAAATTTCTTGGCAGAAATGATTGAGTGCCTCCTGTGCCACCTCACTTTCTTGGAAGATATCAATTTTTATTCCATCAGTTCCTGGTGCCTTGTTCTTTGCCAA